GGGCAATACATCGCATAAATATGGTGATTTTTTCCCCACAAAAAAACCGACTATAGTTTCATTTCGTTTTATAATATTATCAGTTGAATCCTAAAATATGTTAAAGTTTAAAAATAGAACTAAACGTTTATTTGCACAATTAACTCACCTTCTTGAGTGCATTGACGTAGTATTGGTTAATTTACATAATATTATATTGATACAAACAAAACAGAAAAAGAGTATCGTTATGATAGGTTTTTAAATTTCGAAACCTATTTTTTTCTTTATTTAAACTGACCATTAAAGTTAAATTAATGACTAATTAGATTATCTATAATTTGAAATGAACTCGTAAATTTTAATTTTTATAACTTTTACGATTGTTTGTATAAATAAATATTTATAATAATTTTATGTATTACAATATGTCATTTTTTTATGTTTCGTTCTGTAATGTCGTGAATTGAGAGCATCTTGCACGGATTGTGTTTAAGGGAAAGCTAACGAGCATGCGGAACACCTGATTGTGGTTCATGCCTATGGAGACCCACAGCACCAGTGGAAATACGAGCGCGGTGCCGGTGTTTTATGGTTTTAGGAATTGTGGATTTGGCCTTCTGTTATTCGGAACTTTTTAGACACAATCACGCCGTCGTTGTGTCATAGTCATCCAGTCATAATAGTCTATAACAATTTACGTAAAAGATTAAACTTTGTACCTTGGACACCTTTTTATTTGTATAAAGCTTACAACTTGTAGTTAAACAGGTTTCATCATGTTCAGTGGAATATAAATGTAGTGATCAAGGGTCGCGGAATAGTTAATAAAAACTGTAAAACTCAAATTAAAATTGTATATGCAAAGGTTTTTTTATATTTTTTAACAAAATCCTTGTGAATCGTCCTGCAATCGTAAATTTTCCAAAAGCCTCTTTCTTTAACTCACACATTAATTCCCTCCTACTCTCACCCGTTCGTTTGCATGGTGCATCATCTTTAGCTGTCTAAAACATTTAAAACTACATAAATGACTCTGCGTTAGAGTAAGGAAGCCACAAGAATTCAGGAACAATTATACACATGTAGCACAGAGGTTGCCAGGCAGACAGTGCCTATATAAGTGCATATGTTTGCCTAACAATGTACTCTGGTATGTACCCAACATTAAAACTTGTGGAATTCTATTTGTTCGGTTCTCGGAGGCTCCAACAGTTTGGCATGATGCCACACTCGGACTAGCTTGCACCTGTTATTTACTCTATCTTAACAATTAATTACTTCACCAACATTCGTGACTTCTCAATCCTTTGCAGAGATAATTACTTTTTTGGGTTTGTTTTTTGTTTTTGCTGTAGCCTAGATAGATGGCATTATCTTCGAATTAATTTAATCTTACATCGAAAAACAAAAATCTCAACATTGCTTCTTTTAAAAGGAAATTATTAATTTTGATAAATCAAATCAAATCAAATCAAATCAAATCAAAATCATTTATTCCAAATAAACCATAAATAGGTACTTTTGAAACGTCAAAATAGAATAGTAGTCTGTCAGTCTGTTCGTCAGTGAAGCTAGGTGCTCGTTCCAAATTGTAGTTTCGAATGGAGAAGAACGAGCAAGAAACTCCATCGTTACTCTTTTAAAAAAAATATTTGTTTTACAATTCATCAATAATACATTTTTTATACATTACTGTACCCCTATGTGAGAACAATGCAGAGACAAGTTGTTAATAAAAAGGAACAAATGATGGTCTATTTAATCTATCATTAAAATTTTAATCCTTTGTTGTTTCGTACATGGCGCTCACATATGCGTACTCACAATCCATAAGAATGCTTCTATATAAACTCATTCAAGGTTTCATTAATTTTGAGAATTTTGATAACTACTGACTACATATATGAGAATTGTCCAGCGGAGCTGAACCAACATGCTGCCAGGCATTCTTATCCTCAATATAATCTGAAAGTTTGTAGTATGCCTGTCTACATAATTCGCGTTTAATATAAGTTAAATTATAAGTAAAATATAAGTTAAATACATTTTGTATAGTAGGTACTTTTTTTGTCAGAGGAAATTCATCAAATGGCCTCTACCGCCCAGGGTATGGCGAGATAGAGTGTCAGACTCCTGTAAAAACCTCCCCCTTTCTTCTCCTCCTCTGGGCCGAGGCCAGGGTGACTCATTGCGCTTAACCCCGGCTGTACATCAGCCTTAAAAAGGTAAAAGAATGTGCTGAGTCCAGCACATTCTTCTACCACGGTCGGCCCGGTGCTGGATTCAATTTAAACTTAAAAAACCTATTTATCACACTCTGAAAAATAAATTTTACTTTATTTCTTTTTTTTTTTAAAGAAGAATTAAACAAAGTATAATATTACTGAGAATTTCGAAATAAAAAAATCCAACCCAACTATATGTGTTATACACCGAATACAACTCAAAACAGAAACACTTAAACTATTTACTACAAACTGGCACGTAATTCTGCCGGGGACTTGCAGGCCAATCCTGATATGTATCGTCGAGCTAGGCATAAAGTGTCCAGCATACATGTCGATTTCAAACGTAACGGTCGTCCCTCGAATCCATACCACCGCACATTGGTCGACTACGTCGTATTTTGAACATTCACGGGTCGCACAGCTCTTGTTAGAACGAATGATCAGTATGATGCTATTCTGTTACTAGTTGCACTAAAATCAAGCTTCGAGAGGATTTACATACGTTTGTCTTCAGTACATACTGCTTGTTCGATTGCTGTTGGTTAATGTCTTTGTTTGCTTGACAGCGTCATTGAATGGTGAAACCTACCAATGTGACTTTTTTCGAGTTTTATGTACTTTCTATGATTATTTGTCTAAATAATCACGTGGTGTGTTGTGTCACCAGCCTAATAACACACGGTGAAGTAATACATCGTGAGGAAACTTGGACTTATAAGCTTGAAATTGTCAATCCGCCTTGAGCAAGCGTGGTGATTAATGCTTAATTAAACCTTCTCCGTGTAAGAAGAGGCCTTTGCTAGTACTTGTAGGCTGATGACGGGTTATGATGTAGTGGTAAGGCAATAGAGATGTAATGAAATACTTTACTAGAGTCATTAAGTTTGTGATTGAACGGTGCGATTATCAGTATCTATATCTACGTGAGCCTTATCCTCTCACCCCAAATTCAAAGTCATTTGTACTAAAATTATTATAATTATATGAGAAATTAAAAAAAGCCAGCTGTCACTCAGTCCTCTAGAGAAGCTACTGGCTTGTTTTAAAGTGTTTTTTTAAACGTTACACTAGGATTTTATCCTGTGTCGTGGATACAAACATACAATTTCACATACACATGACACCCAGACCAGGAACAACAATTTGTGGATCTTACTGTGTGTGGAAAGTGTAGATTCATATGAAGGAGAACGGGCAAGAAACCCAATGTCAATCTGTTTTACAATTCAATAATTTATTCCAATATGTGAGTTCAACCCCAAAATGCCCTCATCTGGGGTTCGAGTGATGGACACCCGAAGGGAAAAACGCAATGCTTACCATCAGCTGAAAAAAAAACCCTAAATATGCTTTCTAAACTGGCAGTAGTTGGCATTCTCACCATCATTATTATAGTTCTTCAATTTTGTATTTTTCTCAATTATTGTCTCTTGGGTTTAAAGGTCTTTAAATACCTTTTTAAGAGGAGGTTTGCTATTTCAACTCCAAGTCAAATTAAATACTTACTTAAGGCATATTCTCAAAGCACCTCAAGGATAATAGAAGGTCTAACATTAATGTGCCCACAATACCATAACTTATAGCAGGTTGTATAAGACAATTGACTGCATACAGAGGCCTCTAGAGCTTAAGCGATGTCTAATAGAAGCCATTGCCGACTTCCATGGATTACTGACGTAATTTGTGACACCATCTACGCAGAGCTTAAAGGGGTATTAAGTACAATAATGCTATTTAGAAATAGGGGGTTGGAAATCAGTATGAGAATCGTGGTTTCAGGTTTTATGTGAATTACTGTTATTTGAATTACGGCTATTCTTTTCTTTGTTGTTATAAAGGTGTGCGGGAGTGATTTTGGTAGAAGTTACTTGGTTTTTCCTTTCAGAAAACTGTTGTAAACTAAATAGATACTGCCTTACAGTGATGAAATATGCAGAATCTATTTAAAACCCCAAATATATAATTAATAAAAGTAATATTGGCTATTAATTTTTTTATCTTCCTTTATAAACAGCACTGTTAGTTTGGAACTGTGGACACGAAAGAGGATCGAACCCTACAACTAGCGATCCGTGAAATATTTATCCAGGTATGGGTGTCTCGTATAAGCAATGAAAAGAAAACTTAATATGTTCTATACCTAGCTCGTGTGTTGAGTTTAAATGAACAGCGAACCAGTCATAGAAAATACATAAGAGTAACATTTAGGTACTTGTTCTCTATAGTACATACATTGCTTGTCGTAAATATTGTATTGTCATAGCTACGATCAAAATTCAGTATTTTCCAATCAATTGAAATTCCGTCAATTGAAAGTCATTGTTCGAAAAGGTATTGTCATAATGTTTTTGCACAATTTTTTTGTGCGTCGGGTTTCATGAACTTTTGTGAATGAATACAGAATTTTTCCTATATGATTTTTGTATGAGTAATTCTATTGTTATTTTTACGATTATTTATAATAATGTCTGAATATTATATTCGTAGTTGATTGTTTCCTGAAAGCGTATTATGAACTCTCTAGAAAAAAATGTTTAATAATCTACCTGGCTGGCAAAAATCAATACCAGCCGACTACATTTGTTGACAACATACAAATAAAAAAGAAAATCGATTAATCCTTCTTTTTTATCAATGGCGGGACACTCGTATAGCATAAAAAGATATTATTTTATGTTAATTTAAAGTAAAAGAAAACGACATTTTTATAATTTATATAACATTTTTATTAAGAAAGTAATAAAAAATAATAGGAAATAATAATCAAATAATATTTTGAAAATATGTTATCAGTCACAACAATTTTTGCCTAATTTATAAATGATTCAATACGCCTTAAAATTGTGAATTCATTCAGCGATTTCAATATCTTCTGCAGCAATGCCCTTGAAGATTTTATCAATGGCACCAACTATGGTCACTACACCTTCCCTCAAAACTGGTTTGCCGACGTCAATAATCAGTTCTTTCCAACTTTCACTGATAATTTTGTCGATTGGATCAGCTGAAAAACAATTTAAAGTTTAATTTAATAAAAATATTTATACAAGTTACAACAACACAATCAAACATTTCATATATCTGAAGCTAACGTAGCCCAGTTAATCAAAATCGTTTTCATGTGATAGGTGCCGACCTATGACCTAAACGAGAGAACGGATTGCAGCAATGCAAAAGTTACGATTGCGTTGTCGACTATTTAGAGATAAGGGTTTTGGAGATTTTGGGATTGGAGATGAATTAGTGGAGGAGAGGGCTCTCGCGGGGTAAAATTCTGCGATTTATGAGAGATTTAATGTGACAATGTGTTCAAATAAATCAGTGCAAAATTCAAGTTGCATTCGAGACACATAGTTGTACTGTATACTGTACGTAGTAACCAATGCGATTGTAAAATATGATTATTGACATTCAAAATGGTGTTATCTGTCTTTCCATTGACCTCAAGATAGGAAAATCCTGACTATTAGGTATGACTGACTACTGGTAGAACTAGGTAGGTTGAAAGACAACGAAGTTCAACGTTTTTGTAATGATCAACGTGGGGTTAGAGTTGCATCGTCACGTCAGAATATTTACTCAAATAAAAATGACAATTAATAATATTTTCAAAAAACTAAATATGGTAGAAAATAATGATTATTTTTTATATTTGTAATGTATAAAAATATAATTTCTTTTTACTATATTAAGTTTACCTCATTTTCTTGTATTCAAGATTATGTAATTTGGAGATTAGCCACATTTATTCTTAACCTTAGGAAGTTCTTAATTGAGTCATCGGAAATTAATTCCACATTTGACGTGTTTGGTATCGAGTATTAGTGGTTCGTTATTACCCAAATCGTATTAATTTAGCCATTCAATATAATGGATTCCAAGTGGCATGAGTGAATCTGTTAATTATAGCTAGCAAATACCGCATGTTAAATTTAGTGTAATTAATAAATTGATCTATTAAATCCCTTAATGTGTTTATCATGACGTTTACATGGAGAATTTAATTGAAGACCTTCCTATCTTTATCAGAAGGACTTGATCTAATTTTGGACTACAATGAGTTATTTTGTTTAAGTTCAGTATAGTTTTTTTTTTATTGTGAGGGATGAATCATGATATGGCTTTCTCGCCCAAGGATTGACGCGAGGGAGTGTCAGACTCTTACTGACTAAAAACCCTCCCCTTTCTTTCTCTTCTATTGCGCTTGACCCGCGACCCCGGCTAACGATTGGCCTTGTTGGGTCCCTACTGTGGTGGTCTATTGGCTCTTTGAGGCAAGTTCAATATAGTAAGTGAACTTTATTTTGAGTTTTTTAATTCTCTGACTGTTAACAGAACTTTGTTGAAAGTATATTCTTCATTCTCCTCTCCCGTCATAAGTGACTCTTATGGCTCTTAGCGTGTAAAGGTTGTTTTTACATATGTCGGCAAACGAGCAGACGGATTACCTGATAGTATGCAAACAGCGCCGCCCATGCACACTGGGAATACTAAAAGAGTTACTTCAAGTGCGTCATAAGGGATTTAAGTATAGGAGATTTAAGGATTGTGGATGGGGGTAGATTGGGTCTTTGGTGACCTCACTCACACGGCGAAATAGAATGTATGTAAGTGTTGCTTCAAGCAGGTTTCTGTGAGGCCGTTGTATCACTCCGATCGAGCCGACCCATTCGTGCCGAAGCATGGCTCTTCCATGCTTCAATTAGTTAAAACTGTAATATGTAGAAGTTGTTGAAAAAAAATTACCTTGTGTCTTGTCACCGTTGAATAAATTGTTGAGCTTGATATCAAAACGCGTCAATGGTTCGAATTCATAATCGAAGCTTCCGATCTTGTAGTGCTTTACTCCTGCTTTGTCTTCAAAAGATTTGATTTTAAGGTCAATTGCAATCTTAATTGTACCTGGAATTAGATATTAAAAAAAAAAATGACATTTTAGGTGGTAGTCAGTAAAATATTTATTCTCAGTGTGTATTATGTTTTGAGATGAAAAAGTCTCTAAAAAAAATATTGTGCCTAGGAAAGAATGTAACGAATGGTTTTGGGAAGTAATTTTCTGTAGGGATAAGGGAGAGCCCATAAAAACTTGGTAAAAATTTCGTAAAAGTTACTCATTTTACATTATTTCAAACTTTTAGTAAAATCTAGGTAAGATTTGGCGTTGACTTGGGATAAAGTGTGGATCCCGATATTTCTTTAAGAAAAAACAATAACACAACAATATTGTTTTCAAGATTACACTTACCATCTTTGATCTTAAAGTCTCCATTACCAAAAATGTCTAAGTAGAATAGTTTTCCACCCGCCGTGTATTCACCCACCAAAGTGAGAGGACAAACGAATATCAGACTTGCAGTCGATTTTACGGGATCTCGTCTGAAAAACAAAATTAATTCCAATTAGTTATGTAAGTGTCGTGGTGTATGGTGGGTGTGTGGTGGTGGCTTCTCATGCATGAGGGCGCGGTTTCGAAACCTGGCAAGTACCAATGTGACTTTCTTCCGAGTCATATGTACTTTCTATGATTATATAGACACCACTGACATACGGTGAAGGAAAACATCGTGAGGAAACCTGGACTTATAATTTCTAATTATAAGTTTGAAATCGCCAATCCGCCCTGAGCAAGCGTGGTGATTAGTGCTCAAACCTTCTCCGTGTGGGAAGAGGCCTTTGCTCAGCAGTGGGCACTTATAGGCTGATGATGTATGTAGTCAGTTATGTTCAAACTTTTAGAAGAAGGAAAATATTACACAAATGAAAACAAAACAAACCCTTAATTTGAAATATCAGAAGTATGATTTAAAGTCAGTTTGAATTCAAATGATTGGTAATATAGAGATATACATATTGTTATATATAATTATTATTATTATTTTTTATATTGTCAGATCACTATTTTATTATTAAGTAAGTAGTGTAGTGTGTACTACCAGCTCAGCTATGAACAATATGTTTCACAATTAAGCTTTTATCATTTCTCATATATCTAATAATTTCTAATCATTTCTAAATATTTGCGTATGAGCTCGTTTATTGAAGGGCTAAAATGCCTTCCACATAAGTAGAAGCTATGAGTATAAACCTCTCATCTGCCGGTATATGAGACACAATAAAAAACACACTGTGTCTCGCGTAGATCTGCGCTCATGGCATATCATGAGTTAATCACTAAGTTAAGTGCAGATATTCAAATAAATCTTACTATTCCAAACGTGATAAAAAAAATAGGTTTCTCACAGTGTTTTCGAACACCTTAAGTCAGTGGTAAATAATAATAATAAATGATCAATTCGACATATCAAAAAATAAAAATAGATGCTTAAATAATATACATAGGACACGCAAATAACTTAGAAAAAGTCACATTGATACTCGTTAGGCTTCAAGCACATTGAAAAGAGGGCACCTTAACCTCTGAGCAGCAATGACCCTGTCAATAGCTTTAGATGCTTGTAAATATTATACATTGAATTATATAAATCGTATTGCTTTTGTTTCATAATAAAAATAAAAAAGTTATTAAATAAACAACTTGTAAAACCGCTTTGAAGACTTGCTTGTCATTCGAAATTGTAAACGTAATTGTAACGTTCATAAAAATACAACAATTTGGATATTAAAAATTAATAATATTTATAAAATGAGGTCGAATCATTTTTTTTATAAACACTAATTTTAATGTTGATCTATTCGAAGGACAAGATTTGAATCCGAATGAATGAGTCACAAAGAATCACAGCATTTAAAACAGAGTATAGGTAGATGAATCTGCATTTGATTGTAAAAAAGTCAAAAGTAAAAAGTCATTTATTTCAATTAGACCCTTACAGGCTTTAAATTCTTACTTTTGAACGTCAAACAAAATTTAAAGATGAAAAGTGTCAATCCGTCGGTCAGTCTTCTTAAGTGAATCTATTTGCTCGTTCCAAAATGTAGATTCCGATAGAGAAGAACGAGCAAGAATTTCCATGGTTACTCTTTTTAAATCAGTTTCACATACAAATTCTTTGAAACATTATTAAGTTGGTCGCTTATGTAAGAACATTGTGATATGAAAATATGAATACTTACGTTATTTTCTTAATATCGCATTTGCTCAGGTCATGGGCGACAATGTTCTTGAAGCTAATCTTCAATTCTCCGGAATCAGCTTTAACTTCTTTATTAATGTGAAGAGGATCAAGACTTGGTGTACCAAACTCGGCCAAGCCCTTGGCCACATGGGGCATGGCGATTTTTGCAGAATTTAATAAACATTCACTGTCTCTCGGCTTGCATGGCTTGATGAATGACACTGAAAAAGTAAACAGTTGAGGAAAACCCTTTATTTGTAGCTGTATTTTTATATCGACACATAGTTATATTATTGATGCGAATTTTAAATTCTTAGTTAAATAGAAAATATGCTTTTAATGCCGTATTAACATAATCGTGAGAAACAACAAACGAATTTAAAAACTTCATGAGGCGTTTTTTACACAAAGCATAAATCAGAAGTTTAACTAATACAATACCCACTATAAGTCCCGTATAGTACAAGCTTTGCTATTCACCGAATAAAATACAAAATATATTATTGCAAAATCACTGGTTCATTGATAATATTTTCTTATAAATTTAGTGCAGTTTTAATTGATTTATTTTTACGTGGAAAATCATCCAATGACTTATCCGCTCTGGATGTTGGAGTGAGGGTGTCAGACACTAACTAATTAAAAACCATTTCCCTTTACCGGTTAGGCATTGGCCCTCGTGGACCCATCTGTGGTGGTCTAATGACACTTTGAGACTAGCGACGCACCCAGTTCTGAATACGGTCGGGAGGCGAGTTTAACTTGCTCGCCTTACGCAGACCCTTTCTTACAGTGGCTACTTAATAAATTATGAAACTACTCACCTCCACCCGCAATTGATCCCGATACGAAATAACCAATCAACAGGATACTGCACTTCGCCCACATGTTTAAGGCACTGATAGATTAATATCAATATACAGGATAACACTAAGTTGCCTGCGCTATGAACCAAGATATATAAAGTCTACGATGCCAAGGTTAATAAACCAATTTAAATAGAGTTCGATCATTTTTGCCAATTAATGTTATCCTTTTTTCTCATTTAAGTTGCTTTAGGTGTCATCAGTCGGTCGTTATCATAATAACCTGAATTAATTTATTCAACTTTTATGTGATATAAAACGAATGATCCATTAAGCGGAGTTATTGCTTTTTTATATCAATGTCACTATTTGGATTGACTTATTAGTGATAGATGTACTACTTTCTATAAGCTTAAATCATATCTTTTTTCTTGTCAGGGGAAAATCACCAAATGACTTCTCCCGCCCAGAGAAGACGAGAGAGAGTGTCAGACTTTTACTGACTAAAAACCTCTCGTTCCTTCTCCTGCTCTAGGCTGAGGCCGCGGTGACTCATTACGCTTAACCCGCAACCCCGGCCGAACATCAGCCCTATTGGGCCCCGTCTGTAGTGGTCCATTGGCTCTTTGAGGAGCGCGCGGAACGCTACGCTTAAATCATGTCTGGAGTTAGAACCTAATTATGTCCTATAGGGCTGATGTTCAACCGCGGTTGCGGGACTAGCGCATAAGGCACTGTGTCCTCTGCCTAGTAGCCCAGTAACAGTCTGACGCCCTTCCCCGCCCTGGGCGGGAGAAGTCGTTTGATGATTTCCCTTCACAAAAAAGGTACAATTTAGATGTATATGTAAAATATGACTAAGCAAGATAGCAGATTCCAGGAGTGCCAGCACAGCCAAAGTAATACTATGGTTCTACAGAATATCGGCATCAAACAACGCTTGTATTGTGTTTCGTAGTGTGTGTGAGGATACCAGAGGACAACTCACCAAGGACGCGGCTATGCATTTGTAACTCTTTTGCTATTGTGTCCATAGACAGCGCCAATTGCTTATCTTTAGATGATTTCCTCGACTAATCAATCTCATTAAAAAGTAGTTTCAAGTTGTATGTGTGTCTCTGCATTGATTGTTCTTTCCTATCACTAATATGTAACAAAGTCGCTTTCTCTGTCCCTATATACATATGTGCGCCTAAATCTTTAAAACTATTCAACGGATTGTGATGCGGTTTTTTTAATATTTGGAGTGACTGAATAGAAATGAGTAGGTATATGTTTAATTACATCCATTAAAATAATTGAGGAATTAAGTATTAGCATTGCACGCGTGCGAGGCCTGGGCGCGTCGCTGGTATAGAATATGTAAGATGTTTTGTTTAAGAGTAGGTAACGATCGAATTTCTTGCATATAAGTATACATTTTTAAACAAGCATCAAGCTTTATTGATGGGCTATTTATTCTATTTCTTATTTTGACGGTTAAAAAATATAGAACTGCAAATAGTTAGTTAAATAAAATATATTATAATAGGTTTTCGACTTTGACTTTGAGGAGTTATTTGTGTCATCTTGTATTTTTTCTTTGCTTGTATTTTTAACTAGCTTTTCACACGCGTCTTTGTTTGCAGTATTATTTTACCATGTCCGTTCAACTTGTTTCATTGCATTGCAAAAGAAAAGAATAGAAGAAGAAAAACTAATGTTCATGATATTTTAAAATTACATTCGTTTGACATTGTTATAAAAAAGAGTAGGTACTTGCCTAAATAAAAAAAATAGCATACAATAAAAATAAATGAAAAATAAAATTTCTAAAACATTCTTGTAAGTATATCGCACACAATAATTTTTTTCTTAATTATATTTTCTCCTTTAATTAATCATGACTAAAATGTTTCACTTTGTTCCATTAAAACAGTAATGTACAATACCGTCAACGTATCTTGGCGAGTCTGAAGTTAGCTGATTAGCTGCGCAGTACACAATTTTGTTCCTAAAAGATCCATTGCGCAGACAAACGGCTAACTTCAGACTCGCCAAGATACGTCGGTCGTACTGTATGATGATATAACCAGACTCGCAATAATAATAATAAAAGTTGCCGAATAAGACGATGTTAATTCGACCATTATCCTTGTCTTCAATAAATTTAGTTTTTTGTTAAGATTAGGTACTCTTTTTTCTTTGATTATTGACCGCTTATTTCTATATTTCTTAATATATGGTCATTTTTTGTTGTTCAAATGTACAGTCACGATGTTAGTTCTTAGTGTAAGTTTAAGTTATGTGCACAGTGATTGATGCACACGTGGCTGGTTTGAATACCAATACTAAGAAAAAACTCTTAAAAAATTGAGAAGATAGGGAAGGAAAAATGTGGTTTACAAATTAATACCAAATATTTAGTTTGTATTTAATTTAATTATTGACAATTAAACCTTTAAATGATTGACTTAGGGTAGAATTCGCTTTCAGCCGGTTTCGCCGTACCCTAGGTGACAAAAGTAATTAGATGATTTTCCCTAAAAAAGCGTAGGATAAGTTTAAATATTTTTTCAAGCAATCACTTATGTTTGTGACTGTATCTTCTATACTTAGGTAGTAGTAGTATACATAGTAGTTCTATACATACATAGGTATAATGAAACTATTTGTAAATAATATACAATAAATAACAAAACAATAAACAAATAAAAATGATAAAACGTTTATTTTCGTGGTTCAATTTATGATCAATAAAATATATCGAATACTTGGTTCATTTAATTAATTTGGAGAAAAAAATATCGTCGACACCAATCGATCAGTTGCCGATATCAACATAAATGCTAATGAATGGTAAAATTAAAAAGTTATTGGTAAATATATTGGAATAAATTAAATATAGTTTAAATATAGTCGACGGAAAATAACCTTCTTTTTTTAGCACGCTTTGGCTGTTTACAACTTAACCGGACTAACCTTAACCAATTTTACTTAAAAACGAATAATCCTATTTAATTAATGAATTTATTTATTATCTCCTTATGAAGATAATGCTTGATACCTTATACCTACCTTCCTACATTAGCTAATGACAGCGATTCTCCTTTACATCTATCTATCAGTGAGTAAATTTAGCTATAAATTCAATTTCCTTGATTCTTGATTGAATTCATATTATATTCCACTGACTATCCAAGAATTAACGAGTTTTATTTGAAATCTAAATTCATTGCGAAACGTTAATACTCACGGAGAATGGGACACGTTCGGAAGTTTATAGCTCAGTGCAGATTGAATTCTTCTGCTCCAAGCAACACAAGCAATGCATCGGCGTCCATTTCACAAATGCCATCACAGAACTAATCAAATTGGACTGGCGTAGCATTTTTCAAAATTGACATTTATTGCTTTGAACATAAAACTCAGAAGTGAAAATACATGTGTACATATTTGATGTTGTACTAAGATGTGTGGGAAAGGAAATATCATCTATCTACTGGCACGGTCCCATCAGCTATTTCATACAAAATTCAACGTCTCCCTCAAAGCATTTGGGACTACGGTCTAAGTTTACTTCGATTGGCTGTGCACCTTTGACCTGACATCCAGTTAGTTTGTTTTAGACGTCGGATTTATAGTGTACGAGAAAAATCACAAGTAAAATGTCACTGGTTGAATATGCAAGTCAGCTGAGTGACGTGAAAATATTCACTTAGATTAAAAATATTCTTTAATGTTTTATAAAGTATGTGTATTAGGTGCACTTGCATTTTTATAATGTTATGGTTGCCAGCTGGAATTAAGAATAGAATCACAACTAAGTACCGCAGCTTGGCACGAAGAAAGAGTAGGACTTAGATAGGGGGGCTTAAGAGTCTGATAATCCCTCTCGCTCACCCAAGGAGTAGTCATAGAAGGTTTGTCGTCTCAAAAGTAGTGAAGTAGTGTAGGTAGAATGTTAGCTCGATATACTGCTAAGCTACCACTGCTGCTGCCGTATCATAATAAATTATAATGGCTAAATCCATTCCATGCGAAAGATAAAACAAAAAAAGGAAAACGCAACACTATTTGATCTTGGAAAACCTGATTCTGTTGAATCAAAACAAATAAAAACGAAAGTGCAAACAAGAGATGTGTTAAACCATTCAAATCACATCAAATCGCGTCGTAGTGACGTGAATCACACGTTGTTGACAATACAATGCTGCGGCAGGACGGGCTGGTTCCGGTGGCACAGTATTAGCATGCAAATGGACAGGACACAACACGTGCTCCGCACGATAATCGGACGAGCTGAGACGCTCCACTTACGGGCTTATGACACAGATTACAAAGGCGTGGAAAGGTTCTTTGGTCCAAAAACTGAAATGCAATTTTGAGAGTTGCCTTAGTCAAGTCGGCATGAATAGGTCGGCTCGACCGGAGTGATACCACGGCCTCACAGAAAACCGGCGTGAAACAACCAGAGCTATGTGTTTCGCGCTCTGAGTGAGGTAACCGGAGGCTCAATCCTTCCCCTCCTACAACCCCTAAATCTCCAAATCCCTAATCCCCAAAAGGTCGGCAACGCACTCGTAACTCTTCTGTTGCGGGTCTCCTAGGGCGGCGCTGATTGCTTACCATAAGGTAACCAGCCTGTTTGTTTTAGACCTATTACTTAAAAAAAGTCACTAACAGCCATTTTGTTGATTATTTTAATGGTGATATTAATGACCAGATCTAGTTTAAAAAAAAACATGAGGACTAAATTGTGGGGAGGAGTCAAATGTCCGTCCTTAAAAAGTCCAAAGACATTTAGTTACTTATATACTTTTTCAAATCGATACTGGCTCTGTAATAGCAACAAAAACATATATATGGAACTATTAATAATGGTGTCTTTAAATTGACCTGTGTTTTGTTACTTTTTGTGTTCTTAATTTTATAATAATGATGATTTAGTGATGACAAAATCGATCAAAAAATTGCTAAATCTAAGCGAAAAAATAAAATGAATTAAAGGTTTTACAGCTTTGTAATGAGTATCCAATAAAATGTGCTTATGTACTTACATAATAATCTATATATATAAAAGAAAGTCGTGTTAGTTACACCACTTATAACTCAAGAACGGCTGAACCGATTTTGCTGAAAA